ATATGTTATGTCTGACCTATATTAAAATAAATTATTATTTTTTTCCTGTTTTGCTCTAATGTGAATTATCTATGTGAAAAGAAATATATATAAAATTTTATTATCATAAGAATAATGGTAAAGACTTCAGCAATTATCACAAAGTATTGGATTTGAATTCTATCTTCATCATTTATAATATGTCTCTAATAGCTAATTTTTGAGTTGATATCCTTATTATTGGGTAATTAAATTTGTTTCAAGTACTGGAAGTTTGAGAGTCTATACAAGAAGTATAATTTATTCATCTAAAGAGCAGTGGCTATGCGTGGTGTTCATTGCTCAAGGAAAGATGCCAATGACTATCTATTCCATGCATCGAGGACTTGACCTAGTTTATGTAAAATATACGTCGCAGATGTGCTGGAGTTGCCACAGGTTTATGTAGAGAGGTATAATGAGAGTCATAAAAAAGAGTAATTAAGGACATGGAAAAAGAAGAGGTCAAAGGAAATGATCATGCCGAGTGTTTTTACCACTCACGGAGCATGATAACTCTGCAGATCTTTATGCAACCACTCCCATGTCAAGCTTAACATCACTCACTTGTTCTCTCTTTTAATTACAATGCCTGGGAAGAACAGCTTGTCTGTATTATTGTTCATTGGAGCCACGGAGGAATCTGTCCACACCATTTATTTTGGTGTTGTTTTATGTCGGACTGCAGATGGAGTTTCAACTCAGAGTTGGGTTTCCCTCGATGCAGCAGCTAATTGGCTTTTGAATCATGCATGCATGCATGTATGTTAGTCATTCATTGCAGCCGCAACGTAGCAGCAAGGATTTCTCTGTGGAATATGACAGAATCAGGTAGTAGCAAATAGACCTCACGGCACGCTGTAAAATGATCAGAACCACATAGAATCGGCTTTCCCATTCTAATCTATTACTACCAATTTTATGTTATTATATTGACATGAATCGTTGGAATAGTAGTCGAACTTTGTAATTACATTAGATGGTCAAAATAGAAGTTTCTATCCTATCCATCTTTGGTACGTTGACTTTGAGATGCTTGTAATGTAGATTTCTTGCCTGGCTTTAATTTTATGTTATTATATTAACGATGTGTCTGCCTGACGACAGGTTTCGGTGGTACTATTTATGTTACGTGGACCGACGGAATGCTGCACCAGCTTGGCAAGCATGGAAGCACCCCCACTGCAACCGATGCCAACTAAGTTCCTCGAAATAAAGTATTTTAAGTAGGATTACTTTCATTAAATACTTAATTCGGTGCATATTTATTTTGCGAGCAAATCCAGTAGGATTATTTTTATTAAATACTTAATTCGGTGCATTCAAAAAGCTATAATATTTTCACCCCAAAAGTATGACGACACAGACAGACGGCAAACGGCAGTACTCGCCGAAGACGATCGGCAAGCTTGTTATACGTATTTAGGGTTCTTAGTTCACATGCACTACAGCATGGGATGTAACCTTGGACTCGATACGTACTAGTATGCAGACGTCGCCGCTAGATCGACTGGACGCAACAGCCGCGATCTCTTCTCCTGAGCTTGACCATCATCCCGTGCTGCATGCGAAGCAGAACTGCGTTCTTCGGCGCAACCATCTGACGGTCGAGCACCTCGACCCGGAAGTTCCACACCACGGCAGCCGCCACCGTCTTTATCTGAGTCAAGGCTATGTCTCTCCCCGGACAAATCCTGGGTCCTGAGTTGAAGGCCATGAACTTGTATGCTGGCACGTGCTTTGGCCTCCCGTCCTCTGCTATCCACCTCCCTGGATTAAACTCCATGCAGTCCTTCCCCCATATCTCCTCCATTCTTCCCATGGCGTACACCGAGAACAAGATCTTGTCGCCTGGCTCGACCTTCATGCCGCTCGGTAGCACGTCCGGGTTGACGGCGGTCTTTTCCTCGTAAGGGACCGGTGGGAAGAGCCGCAGCGTCTCGCACACGGCTCCGTGCAGGTACACCATCCTGCCGAGCTCCTCGGCGTCGAACACCATCGACTCCTTCTCCCTCGACCGGTGCAACGATAGCTCCTCCAGGATCTTGGCTTCCGCCGTGGGGTTCTTGGAGAGGAGCCAGAAGAACCAGGAGAGGCAAATGGCGAAGCCATCTCTCCCTGCGATCATGAAGGTTAGCACGTTGTCGCGGAGGAACTTGTGCGGCTCAAATTTACCCTGGATCTCCTCCACTACGTTGTCTATGTAGGATGTGAGAAGATCGTTCGTCCTAGGAGTGGAGGTTTCTTTCTGGACTGCGTTGATGCTGGCCACCCGTCTCTCCTCCCTCCTCTCCGATATCACTTGGCATATGAAGTGGTCTATAACTTCCCAAGCCTTCGCCAGCTTCTTCTCTGTACCGACGTTTAGCCTTTTCAGTATCTTCCACCAGCTCTTGGGCACTGCATGGCGGAACAGCAACGCCTCCCAAGCGTCATCGATGGCCACAGCGAAGGGTATCGCAGGCAAGTTAGCGGAGAGACACCCGTGGTCGACACCGAAGACCATAAGGCTGGTCACGTCGAACGAGAGCCTCATGAACAGATCCTGCAGCTCCGCAACTTCTTCTCTCTCGGACTTGAGGAGTAGAACGGGCAAGAGACCCTTTTCGGTCTTCTCTCTCGTGGCGGTGGCGACGAAGGACCGGAACGAACGGTCGCCGATATAGTTGTGCGCCAGCTTTCGCTGGATCCTCCACGACTCTGCGTCGGCGTTGAACAGGCCGTCACCGAGGATGTCGAAGACCTCGTTGAACTCGTCGCCTTTGCGATAGTTGGCGAAGTTGTCGCTGAGGATATGGTTAACGTTGGCCGGGTCGCAGCTCAGCACCATGTTCATGCCGAGGAACCACGGACCACGGAACAACCAGGTGCAACCAACATGGAGGAGGAGATCGGCGAGGTAGTCATGGAGGTGGTGGAAGTGGACGACGACGGCGGGGAGCATCCCGAAGACCGGCCAGTTGATCGGCATCCTCGAGTGGCGTAGAGGGAACAGGAGCAGGAAGAGGAAGCAAGCGATGGAGAGAAGGATCTCAGGGTAGGCTTGCAAGAAGCCAAGCATGGGAAGTGGCCACGCAACAGCCATCGGTGGCGGAGGAGATGGATGCTCTTGTTGATTCCGATGCTGAGGGGGGAGGGGTGCAACGTCTATTTATAGTGCATGCGGTGTCCTGTCGATCATCGTGCTGACGTAAACCAGCATATCTCCAAAGTATCTTCCATGCTTCAAGTCTAATTAATTAATTAATTAATTAATTAATTAATTAATAGTTCACTATATTTTTGGTTACCACAACAAAAAACATAATATGATATCAAATATTATAAAACCTATTTGAAAATATTATAAATGACTCAAATAGACTTATAACCTCAATCAAACTAACTATAAGTTTAAAAATATGATATTATAATGGTCTATGAGCAACGATAATAAAAAATATCTTCAGTACCCCGAATAAAAATACTATAAAGCTATTAAAAATTATTATAATGGGCTCGATGCATCCTAAGGACCTATCCATAAGGTGTCTCCAAAACCATTAAGAAAAGTATTATTGTAACTTTTATTGAATGACTTAAGTATTATTCAAATTAAGGGATATCATTTGAAAAAAAAAAAAAGAAGACAGGACTCCTTTTAACAAAAATTAAACAAGAGGGATTCTTTTTTGAGAAAAATCATCTTGACATTACAATTATTTTACAAGATTTATAATTTTTTTTCGAAACTTCAACTACAACTTGCGGATGCCGATTGTTATCATGGACACCGAACCGACCATTGACTTGAAGCTTTGGATTGTTGAAGTGAGCAAGCTGTGTGAGATGATCGACACGAATTTATTGAAATGATGGCTGGCTTATGGTTGCGTATGGGCCGCTATGGGAGAATTAAAGCTGAGTGTTGTCGAACTGATTCAAAGGTTAGTGTCGTCAAATCGAAGGGGATTATTCTATAGATCGAAACAACGTCAACGGAGCGTTGGCGGCTGTAGTGCATTAATATCCGAAGCTGTGATGCATGCATCCACGCGTTGGTTTGCATGTTGTGAAGACAGTGGCATGAAGTTGTTAGGCTAACAAGGACGAAGAATGTGGCCGTGTATTAACTGGCACTGCACCATTGACCTTGTCGTAATAATGGCAATTAAAATATAGTGAGAAGAATTAGACAGAGTGAGTGACACTCAACTCATCTATTCCAATAACCAGTACAGCAGCAGAAAACGGAATAGAAGGAACGATGAACTCGAACAGTAGCTATGAAACAAGATAATGGCATTGATACCCCCCAACAATTAGGGAAAGAGGTACGAATAGATTTAAAGGCACATGAAAATGCGTGGAGTCACCAACACATCACATTCAGTCACGGCATGAGAACGTGGGAAGTCACGTTTCTCATCTACAAGCCATGTTCTTTAGGAGGGAAATCAATAAATAATAAATATGTTCAATTTCATGTTTTCGTAATAAAAACACCAGCAGTTCTTGTGAAGGCGAGGCACTGCCATGACGCGGTATCAATCACATTTTCCAGCATAACAAGACCTGCATTCGACACACAATGGCCTTACGCTTGCTGCCAAGGGCGGTAAGGCTTTTCGCCTCAATGCATACTGTGTTATCGGTAGACAGCCAGCCACAAACACCTGTTGCACGTATTTCTAGCATCCGCTGCGAAGATTGAAAGCTCGAAGCCATTAGCACCTTCATTCATGTCATATACTTTTGCTGGTATATTTTGCAGTGATGCAGCCGATTTAGGTCATTCGACACCTAACAAGGGCAAAGCACCCTTTCCTTGAGAACTTTCAGGGCCTCTTGCAAACCATCCTTGAAACCATAAAAACACTGTTTATAGAAACTAGTTCAAAGAAACCTTGATTGTGTGCCTTCTGCAACTTCATTCTAGTTGTTTGCATACCTCGGAGGAGATTCTATCAGCAACTTTAGATGCTTGTGCTTTTATCTCAGGAGATAATGACAATTTTATGGCCCTTGCCAGGCAATCTGCAGCCTGGCTGATGCTTGTAGCATCGTCGTTGTCTGGAAACAGATGCCAACTTCGTAGCGGCTCGGGTGCAACTCCTATCCAGTGAAGCCTTTCTGCCCAATAGAACTGATCCAGTATGAAGGGACAGAGAATCTGCATGGCTATATGATCCATCAGTTAATACAGTTCACATTCAATAAGTGTGCTTAAACTTTTGATATTTCTCATGACTCGAATCAAGAAGGAAAAAAAAATTAACAAGACCAAGAATCCTTCTGAAATCTTGTGGCCATCATGTTGTGAAGACTTCCACCAATTAAAATGCTAGAAGCATAACAGATAACCATAGCGAGATTAGCAAAATTTCAGAATTCAGCATAAAACCATTGAACCAAGGAAATCACATCAAACAGTAGAAATTTTATTTTCTTTAATGGTCATGCTTATGCTTTTAAACTTCATGGCCAGTATGCTGACATACATTATGTCAAGCCAACTAACAATACTTGCCAATCAACATAGATCAGCACAAACTTATTGTTCGGTCAAACCTTCATTTTTTTTATACTCAAATAGAGCTTTTGCCTAGGAAGAATTAAAAAATGAATCAATTTTGGGGTATGCCTACTAAAAGCCACAATTTTGATAAAATAAAGTTGATCAAAAATTTTCAGACATGTTCATACAAATTTAACCTGAGGAATTCCAGCATGTAGTGCTGCAGCAGTTGATCCACTGGCAAAAGAAGATCATACTAGGTGAAGCACATAGTTCCAAGAAAACTCATGTAGAGATCAAATACAACATTCAAATCCTTACCTGCCTCCATGATGAATTGCAACTGCACATTTAGAGAAGAGCCAGCTATAAGGTATCGAACTGGTCATTTCAAGCCAAAAGAACATTTATGAATCTTAAGATAGAAGTAAAATATTTGTTGAAGAACAAGTATGGATATTTCAGTCTTCAGAGATTCACTAACCCAGAAAAGCAATAAAGCCGGTCACTGAATAGGAGAGTGCCATGTATATTGCTGGGTGGAGGATTTGCTCTGTTTGATGATTCACAGGAAATTGATTGTATGGCAGCGTCTAATGGTTCATATCCAGATGAGAAGAGGATAAATCTGTGCTCTGTGACATCTAGAACAGCTTTGAGCACCCTAAGAAATGCATGGGGATTTTTAAGAAAGCCCATGCTGTGGAATAAACAAAATCCGTCAAGTGATTAAAAGAGAGACAGAAAGTGGAGTGTTAGTTACGCAATGAATTGCACAGATAAAAAATATAGTTTAGCAATAGCACGATGCATTTCAAGTAACAAAGTCACACCACAGTTCTTGATCAGCCCTGGCTATTAAGACGTTTAAGATAAGCTTTCTAGCATATTACAAAAGACATTGCTGAATTGGATGAACCACTGAAATGAAAAAAAGAAAAAGAAATGTACTCTGAAGTAGAAAGAAGAACATTCATGTTACCGTACTCTGTTTGGAAAAATAATAGCAAGCAGCAATTATTCTACTATTCTGACTTTCCATGTCCTTCTTTATCCTAATATACGACTGTCGATGAAAGACAATCAAGAGATCTGAAAAAAACTGAGTACATAGCCCAATAAAAGCATTAAATATCAGCTTCATGATTATAAAAGCATAGTCAATCTTTTTTGCTAAACATGCTGACCAGTAAGTTTATTTTAGATTCTGAAAGGAAAAAGAACAAAGAAATTACTTACTATTTTCACCCTGAATTATATCAAGTAACATTTTCAATTGACACTAAAAGTACAAAATAAGCAATGACACTGTTCCAAGTCAGAAGGGATATATGATGATCCAGAGCATCTGAGACCATGACCTTGATAGAAAAATGTGAATTTGGAAACAAAGAAGCACTGCCTTCTCTTCTGTTTCCCTTTTATTCTTAACTAACAATATGCCTGAATATTATGCAGGTCCTGAATCATGAAATTACAGTTTCAGGTTTTGTTTCTATTGTGTTGTTAAATATAGACTAATGGCATTATCATTAAATACAAATCCTATTTACTAGGAACTTGGATATAACAAACAAGCAAATCTCAATATAAAGATTACATTAGACATCACATACTCAACTCAAGCAATAATATTATGGCAGAGAAATGTTGGTTTAGCAAATTGTAGCACATGGTAAACAAGCTACCTTCCGATAGAACTTAGCCCAATGAATAGTGGTAACTGTGGATGAGAGCTTTTCATTAGGAACTGCTGTATATCAGCATGAATTGTGCACAGTTCGCTCATTCCAGTCATAGAGCCATTAGGACTTGCAGACATTATGTCCCTACATTTGTTGCATGAAAATTGCCACTCCAAAGGAAGAAACCAAAAACCGCAAACATGAATATTTAGTGGCCAGTAACCTGTTATGATACTTACATCAGTCCAACTTGAAAATATTAAGCAACAATTATCACACAAATGGAGGAACGAAGAAAAACAATAGACAATGACAACACAATAGAGTGTCGTTGAAATATAATAAAACCACAGGAAAGAGATTAAACCCTTTTGGTCTATTTCTCAAAGCATTCAATGGATACTCTGACAAGCTGACTGGGAAATTAATAGTTAGATCCTCTTCCGGCACGTACGTTGAGACTCAGAGGACTACAAACCGGGAGACACTCCTGGTATGGATGCAATGTTGCATTACCCATTTATTGTAAGGTCCAGGTAGATAAAAAAAGATGAGCTAGGTGCTCACTAAAATTGTCAGGTTATTAGATAGTGATAAAATGAACTTAAAAATGTATCACAAAACTCACAGATTTAAAAGAATCATTTATCATCCAAGCAATTTTCATTACCTGGGCACTCCACAATTTCCTTGCTGAATCCATACCTGCTTAGCATAAGACATTAAAGTGTACAATTTTAGAACAAGATATTCAAGTCTAAATCATGGATTGCTATGCTGGTATATGCAATTTTACTCGCACAACAATGCATGACAAGCTAGTGCTTGTCTGGAGCATGATGGACACATCACAGAGGCACACCATGGAGGCCCATGCTGTGACAACCAAAATCCGGATATACATGGCACAGAGTGCAAGTGTAGCTATTTGCTAAGTAGCAAGTCAAATGTAGTTATGGAAGATTTGGGAGGAAAGGCTCATTATACCCTTGCATTCATCTTTTTTAGAACAGACGAGAAAAACTAGTCATGGCCAAAGGACATTCTGCAAAGCTCCAACAAAGATAGGCCAGCTCGATCAGTACAGATTCAGAAAAAGCAAGGATAATATCTATATTAACCAAAAAGGTGCCATTAAAATACAATTTAGTACTACTTGGATTGCTAATCTGTTGACTTTATTGGAGCTTAAATCTTTCCTGTCTTTGGCTTCACAAATCATCTACGTGTTTCATTTGAAGGAAACTCCGAATCCTTGTTTATCATGGGAAGTTCATAACAGAGATATTTCAGTCGAATCATCAAATCCATTTTGATATCTTCTCATCAAAATTAGATTCGAAAGTCATACAAATAGCACAACTAGAACTTTTCTTCACCTGTCCCTAATCTTTTATTGTCCCAGCTTCAGTACAGAGCTAGTAGTCATGGACCTTCAATTGGTTTCCTTAATACATTATTCTCTTTCCTTTTTTCTTGTATGCAATACATGCACCTTGCAGAACATGCAGGTCATACCCATTTTTCAATATTAAAATCACTTTCTTAAGTGGTTGCTAATGAAATGTATTAATAAAAGTCAGTTTTTGGCTGTGTAAAGAATCTCACAAAATGAAATGAACAACATAATTTGTCCTTGTCTCAAAGAATTGATATTTAGTTTTGGGGGAATAATTCCAAGCATGACATAATACAAAAATGATAAAGTACCTTACATTCTTTGCCATTTGTAGAAGTGCAAAATAAATCTTCCAAGAAACTAAGAATTAAGACAAACAATTATTGACACTGAAAACTCATTGTTCAATTCTAAGCAAGATAAGGCAAGAGTCATAAAATATATCCTCTTTAATCAGAATGCAGTCTGCAGAAATAGAATCGTAAATTTAATAACAATTAGAATCTTACAGTAATATTGGCGAACCTGCATGCATATGCCACACCGGAAGATTCGTCACCGGATCCTGAAATTCTCGAAAGGTAACTTAAACTTCCTGACCTATCTTAAATGAATAACTAAACTAATGACAAATTTAGTGGATAATGTTGTAGAAATCACTCACCATAAAAGGAATAGGACTCAGCTTTAAGTACTCACTTCTCCATCTCCCCCAATCTTCCGTGAAAAGCGGCCACATCCAGTGGACAACATCCTTCCAATTAACCTATTCACTTTGGGATGAGAATCCACAATCAGGTTCATCAATTGCATAAATTTTAAGATGCGTGCATGACATCCCCCTTTGATGATTCCATACAAGCCCAAGCCAAAGCCCAAAACAAATGTGTCTTATGACCAAATCCTACTACAATCTAACAAGAAAATAAAATGTGTAGGATGAGCCCTCCAAAGGCATTTAAGCCCATATGGCTTTGATGTAGCAATCCGAAGCTCTCTGCATCCTCTTGGACTACCGTAATTGTGTGATGGCACTCTAATCCCCATTAGGTGTCCTTTTAATCATCAATACCACATCACGTTATGTGCTTGAAAAAAAGAAGTTACATGAAAACAAACACACGGCAAGATAAGTGAAGTTCCAATATGCCATACAAACTTCTGTTGAAGCAAGCTATATGCAATGAAAGGATGACAGAAACATAGATGAACACCACAGAACCATAGCATAGACAACATACAGATCAAAATAGATTACTGCATATAACTATCTCTATTTTGATGTAATGGCAAGTCATACCGTGTTAGGAGAAGATTCTTGAAAATAATTGTAGAGACATGGGAGCTCTTGCTTGAATCGACGTTCAAATGATGAAGGAGCACTATATTAGCAATGCAAAGAATTATAAAGAGATAGACATGAAAATAAGTTATATAATAAAGAAAATTTTGGCAAAAAATAGGACCTTTAGATATTTGCATAATTGTGCTTGAATTAATTCCAACATAGGCATGAAGGTAAATGTGTACAACAGCAGAATTACACCTTTCATCAAGCACAAACAACAGAAGGCACATTTTTTACTATAAGGCAAATTCCAATCTGTGATAAATTAATAATTACGCTGTCATCGCCCATCACCAAATACATAAAAACAAAATAAAACAAAAATATAAACAAAAGAAACAAAAAGATAAATACAATTAAAAAATGTAACCATGCAGACCTAATATGGCTCAAGAAGATGTAAAGTGGCCTAAAAAGATACAATAAACAATTAGTACAAGTTAAGATCAGAAAAACACAATGTCACATGCCAACCACAAATACAAATGGAGGAAAAGTGTCAATACTAAAAAGAAGTAACTAGTACAAAATAATTCATACTTATGATGGGCACATGACTAGTGTAGCTTATTCCTTGAGAATTAAAAATAAGAAATCATAAAATTATGTTAATAAGCCAAAAAAAGTCATTAGAGACATTTTTTGCAATAAAATGTTTTAAATGCATGGCATGGATAAACAATATCTTGATTTATAGGGGAGAATGAATGTCAAAAAAATTACAGAAGCAATAAGCAGAACTTGGATACCTATATGGAACGACATAAGGAGAAGCAATAACACATCGAATTTGAAACATTTCAGCAAGATGCCATCCTTCCTGTATCATCAGGCAACAAAATCAGTCACAAACATCAGAGTTCACAGTTATTTGGGTTCAAAGCTTTTAAAGAAAGTTATTAGAAGAAAACAGACAGGAAATTGATTTTTCCAAATACAAGAGGTACCAATGCAAAGAAATTTATCACAATAAAATCATCCTTCATGCTTGGATAATCTCCAAGAACTCTTTCAACCACAGAGAGACACTGTTGCCTGTGCTCTGCCTGAATCCTCTTTTTGTGCATGGAAAACGGCATCTGCTCAGAACCTACAAGGGGCAAAGAAATAAGTCAGTACCCGGAAAGTTTTAAGGAACATGAGAAAGTAGAACTCCAGGACACTTCAGATGTTACCAAATTGATGAACCGAAAGTACAGGGGGTGAGGACACTGGGATGTAGGCGACATTCTTAGCTGCCAGATGTTCGCTTAAACTCTGCAATGGTAGCAAATATCATAATAACAGAAAAACATTCCAAAGGTCATCAGTCGAGTAATCAGAAGGAACTACATCCTTTTGGTACAGACCTGATGAGCAAGATGGGTAATCAACACAACATGATACTGTTGTTGGTCACAAGCAAAAGCGGCAGCGATCGCCTAAGTATATACAAAAGATGCTAAATTAGATGTCATTCGAGTTTCCCAAAAATGAGAAGATGGTGGCCAGCGTGTTGTAAATACGTTCCTTGAAACAAACGATTCACACAACAGCTTCGTGGTATCATTCGCTCATTTCTCACCCCACTTTCCCGACAAGGTACAATGAGCAGAAAGTAAACAACCAATCAAAACGGATTTATGAAGTTGAACTGTCATGTAGCGAAGACCAAACAGCAAATAGAGTGAAATCAGCCTCACAAGCAGAACAGCAACCAGAAAGAGGAGGAGAAGAACTCAAACTAGCATGACGAATCGGCTATTTCGTGAAAGCAGGCACCCGTAAAATCTCAGCTTCAATCCCGGAAAGAAACAAGTCACATGAAACTGAGGGCGCAACGAGGATTCCAGCAACCAATGAAATTAATATCATTAATATCCCACTCCTTCTCGCTTATCCAACCCAAGCTTGCAACTTCTAGGGTTCTAAATCGAATTCTATTTCACTGAAATAGGTACGGAAGAGATTGAGAGTTACGGCGATGGGAAAGACGTCGCCTCTGGTACCGAACGCCATAAAAATGGCTCGAGGCCTGCGATCCTCCGCCATTTCTTCCTCGCCCTCTCCCACGTCGCCCCGCTTCAGCCGCTAGCGAAGCTGCTACGGTCGCTTCGCTTTGGCTTGGTTTAATTTGACGGCCGGTAAAATCATTATAACGGCTGCTCCTACGATTCCCTTCACACGAAATAACAGTTGTTAGGATCCGTTATTTACCCGTCATGTTTTAAATTTTGAATTCCGATATGACGTGGCATAACTTGGAATCAATATTATAATATTATTTCATGATTGATATATATATAGAACCAATGCAAAGTACATTACAAATTTACATAGTAGTAAATCTATATAAATCTAAGACATAGTATTATACTTTAAAAAATTATATTGATATTCTTATAGTTATTAAAGTAAAATATATAGGTACATTTATCCTAATAATATTAATTTTATTAATAAAAATATGAAAACAAATAATGAAAATATAATTTTAATATTCCAATTAGTGGTGATGAACGGCGACGATACTAGCGTCGACGTTGACGTACTTACCGAGTGACTCTTTTATCGCTCTGCAGCTGCACCGACATTTCGTCGTTGCAAAATCAAAATCTACAGTCAAAGCCATTGTAGAGATCTGTCATATATCAAAGCAAACACAAAGATATATACCCCCCTCGTTGACACCAACATCATGCCCCTCATCGCTCGCCTCCTCAACCACCATCACTTGTCCATAGCCAAGGCTTAGGAGAACCTCTCTATCTACGCTCGCAAGGCACTTATGTGCACCACGAGCATCCTTGACGCCCTATCGTTACCCTCCGCCTCCTCTCCCTGGTTACGACAATCCTTTTCAATCTCATCTTCGTCAAAACGTATCGATTCATCATCGAGTCAAATAAGCCTCTCATCGCACCCTCGTGGACCTCTTTAGTGCCCCCAACATGCTGACTAAGTCTATCAAGAACACACTCAAGGCCGTCTTCGCCCTAACCCTTTATTCGCTCAATCGCACTGCCTCTCTTCATACTGATAATGAAGGACGAGTAGAAGGAGGTGGTGGAGTATGCGATAGTGGTGATTACCCATATGACAAGATGCAACGAGAGCACAGAGGCATTCTAGGGTAGTTGGGGGAGTGAGAGGGTGAAAAAAAATGTTACAGTTGCGTTGTTGAACCTAGTAAAGAGCAGCACAGATAGAGTGGTGGGGGACATCAGGGGGGTGGACGAGGCGGAGGCGACCATGAGGGTTCTGATCGACGGTGATAGTGGGGTGAGTACGAGGGGGAAGAACAAGAGGAAGGTATTGTTGAAGATTATGGAGAGCAAGCGAGAGAGTCAACTGTAGGGTCTTAACGATTCCGAGACCAACATCGATGACACCATATTACAAATGCTGCTTTGTGACGGAGCCACAAAGCGTTCTATTGATGCTCTGCATATGTCATGCTATCACTAACATTGTTTGCTGTTATCAACTAAAACGTTAAAATTATCGTTTTGTCATTTATTTTTCGTGTTTTCGATAGTAAAATCGATGATGTTATGATAAACAAACCTAAAGATTTTACATTTATAACTATAGAAATATCAATATAGTTTCTAAAAATATAAGGATCGAAATATTAATGTAGCATGTGTAATTAGCCCCCGTAGTAGCATTGCCAAACGAGTATTTCGTTCCGTGTCCAAAGAATCCTAAGATCCACTGCTACACTTCTACCTCCGTTTTCCCTCCTCTTTGGAGCAGCCGAGGCCATCGTCGCTTTAACCACTTCGTCCCCTCCATCGTCCGCTCCAGCCTCTCGCCGTTGCACCGGTTTAGCCTCGCCGGCGTGCCGCTTCGTCCTTGCCGTTCCGCCTCAACATTATTGATGGTGACCTCGCTTTCATTCGAACTTCTCATTTTGCGCCTTCTTGAATCTCGAATGCATATAATAACCGTATGATTCTTGATCGTTAGTGTTTTGATTTATTCCTCGTTCAACTTCGTTGGCCTTCGGCTCGAAGCATCCCCCATTAATGGTGTGCTGCTCAACCTCACTGCCATGGCTTCGCCCCGCATTCTTGGTGGTGAACCCCTCGCCATTTGAATTGTCAATTTTTTTGCTTCTTCGTGAATCTTGATTAATATGTTATCCCCAAACCATATTGAATTTTAGGGTTCTTATGATTGCATACATGTTCACTTGTGTTGTCTTCGACTCGAAGAATAAACGTTTTATTTGAATAGAATCGTGGCCTCAACTTCCCAAATAGGACAAGAGTTTAACTCAAGAGGTGCGTGTGAATTTGTGTATGTTTGCGCATGAACAATGAAAGAAAGTTTTGTTAATATAAGTTGCTAATCACCTAACTTCAACACTAGTAAGTTGCTTTCTATCTCAAATGGTTTTGTAGATGTTTGCACAAGTATAAAATGGAGCCAAGAAAGTCATTTGCTTCGGTCACCTTAGGGGAGGAACTATTCAATTTTTCACATGTATTATGTGGTAATTTCTATGATTATGTTAAGTTAATTTGAATGGTCATTGAGCAATGTACTGAAGCAAGACCAATAATTTTGCTCTTTGGAGTGACTGCTTCAGTAGTGAGAGGACAACTGTATCTCTAAATAGAAGTTACATTAACTAGCATATGAAGTAGTGTACTAGCAAGTAACTGAATTGCTTTTTGAAGTTCATACTATACTTGTGTTGAGAATGTGTGAAGGTTTTGAGCTCCCAGCTTGTTGGTTTGTCATTGTATTTTAATGAATGTCAAGACAAACTAATATATTATGATGTGTAATTTTATAAATTTTTCTGATACTTGCTTGATGTGTTTATATTCATACCAATAACTGTTCATATGTAACACAACAGTATGACAAGAGAATTACCCCTGCTAGAGGAAATATGACAAAATTGTCTTCAGCTAGCAGTTTGGAATGCCGCCGCCGCTGCTGCTCCTGCTCTAAAATACTACTTATATTACGATACATGCTTGTGGTCAAAGTTTTTCATGCTAGAATTTCTTCTTTATAGTTGATATTTGTTAAGCTGACTGATATTTGCATCATTGAAGCAAAGTAAATTACCATCAGGATCCACCTTGATGCATTTGGATGATAGCTATGAATGGTTGTCCATCTTCTGGTCATAATTAGATTGCCAATCTAAATAACTAATACAGTTTTTATATATGAGCTAACATTCTTATCTATGAGAATCTTTACAATGTAGCATTTATCTAGTCCTACTGTTGTGCTTCTAGTTTTTGTTGAACCTTTCCATACTTCAGGTGAAATATCTGGAACTATAACTGCACCACTCGATTTGATGAAGATGAGATTAATGGTTCAGGTAACAAGTTCTGCCATGTCTTGTTTCTGTGTACAAGATCCATGTATGAATGTTTCAGCAAACCAGTACAAGGGGCCTTTTAGGCTGTGCTCGAGTAATTATGAGAGAAGGGCCCAGCCACTTTCTTAATGGTCTGATTGTTTCTGTGTTTTCTGCCTGAATCATTTTTACCAGACTGCATCTTCTCATATTATGCTAGCAATGAAGAAGTGATAGAAAATTACTGATTTCTGCGCTGCCATGTGTAGATCTTGCATGGTAATCTTTAGTAGAATCGGTTTACTCTGCAAGTTATATTTTAGAATCCAACTATTTTAGAAGATGGTCAACTATTGAGAGTTATATTTCAAATGCATCAAGATATATCTTGTTTGGTGAATCTTATATGGATAATTTTTAATCTCTGAATTCTTTGGTGAGTAACGATCTTGTTTCATTTTCATAATATATGTCACTATTTATTTATTTTTGTTTTGGAGTTTGATTTTCTAGATTCTAATTTTTAATAAATTGGGAAATTTTTATCAATCATTGGCAACTCTATACACCCAGGGACTAGCCTTCGTCTATGGGGTGGGTCCCGCACTGCCCCACCTTGTCCACCAATGGTAAGAAGGGTAGCTAATCTGGTAAGGGACTGAACGGGAAACAAGACTAATGCTCTGCTGATTTTTCTATATCTCCTCCTGATGGACGGATGAATATTGGCGTTGATGATTTGTTTCCGACCGTTCGATCATCTAATAGGTAAACATTCTGGGTGATCTTATTCTCCTATTTTTAGAGAAAGGCCGCCGTCTCATTGGCTTCCGCTTCCCCATTTGCGATCGGTGTCAAGGGCGATAAAGGAGAGCCGGCGCCGCCTTGGGTGAGAGACAGAGGAGAGGCAAAGAGGAGGGCGAAGATGAGCGGAAACGGGGTGAAGAAGGTGGCGGAAGTGGCCGCAAAGGCGACTAAGTCGATCGATTGGGACGGCATGGCGAAGGCCCTCGTCTCCGACGAGGCCCGCAAGGAGTTCGCCAACCTCCGCCGCGCCTTCGACGAGGTCAACAGCCAACTCCAGACCAAATTCTCCCAGGTACAGGATTCCCTCTTCCCCGAATCCCATTCCAGCCCGAGTGCGGCCGGATCTAGGTTTTCTTCTTGTTCTTTTTTTTTTTTTTCCTTTCTTCAATCTGCCATGTTCTTCTGGTCTTGCTCTATTTTCTTGTTTCTGATGCTTTTAAGAGATGCTTAACGGCAAGATCTTTAGGTTGATTGATTGGATCATGGCCCCGATCTAGACTATCTGATTTTTTAGATTTCTGCCATATTGATAAAGGGCTTTTAATCTAATGTGATATGTAACCAATGCGAACAAAATAACAAGAAATTGGAGACGCCGAGATCGTTGCCGCAATTTGTTCTTTCTCATATCCTTAATTTCTTAAAAAAGAAAAGTCTTTATCTTCTTTTCGTTTTTTCCTTTCAAGCATTGTTGTCTTAACATAGATTTTTTTCCCTAATGAAGTTGTTGTTCACCGATTAATTTAAAACAGATCTGCAAAAGAACAGCAGTTTTAAGTCTCTTGAATGACGTGTGCATTCTTATTTAATCTCATGCCTTTCACTACTTGAATGTCTATTTTAGAAACAGTTGGTGAACACGTTATGGAGGACTAAAGTTTGAAAAAACATGGTTCAGAATATTTAACACAGATAGTTGAACAGGTATAAAGGCTTCTCGCAATACATATCTGACGG